GTGGAGACAAATGTATTTGAACAAAAAATAAAAATTTAAAATAAATAAGTAAATATTTTAAAAATCCCAGGTTCCTTAAAATATGAAGTACAGGAAAATATGACCCATATCCAAGAGAAAAGGCAAAGTGGAAGTTACTCCAGGGTCCGTAGTTGCAAGCTGGAGACCCAGCAGAAGTGAGATGTAGTACCAAATCCAGTCCAGAGGTCTGAGAGCTAGGAGATGTTTTATTCCAAAGTGAGAAGGCTGGAAAATAAATAACTGTGTCAAAACAGTCAGGCAGAAGGGGTTCCCTTCTATTTAGCTTTTTTGTTCTATAGTAATGTAGAACATTACACAATGACATTGTTTTGGTCAATGACAAACTGCTCATGATCGTGGTCCCATAGATTATAATGGAACTGAAAAATTCCTTTCACTTAGATTATAACATCACAGCAGAGCACATTACATGTTTGTGGTGATGCTAAGGGAAACAAAGCTGTGCTACCACTTGTACAAAAGCATAGCACTTACAATTATGTACAGTACATAATACTTGATACTGATAATAACTTGATTATGTTACTGGTTTACTATATTTTTTGTCATTATTTTAAAATGCACTCTTTCTACTTTTTTTTTAAGATTTGCTGTAAAACAGCAAGCTTTGTTATACTGGAAACAACCTCATACATCTTCTGTTAACTGAATTTCTTCATTGCATTGTTTTCTCTTGTGCTTGAATTAGTCTCTTATTGTTTTATACAGTAACATGCTGTGTAAGCTTGTACCTAGGAGCAATAGCCTATACCATTTAGCCTAAGTGTGTAGTAGGCCATACCATCTAGGTCTGTGTAAGTGCACTCCGTGTTTGCACAAAAATAGAATTACCTAGCAGTGCATTTTTCAGAACATACCTCTGCCATTAAGTAGTGCATGACTATTCAGTTCTTCAACTGATTGGTCTAGCCTCACCCACATGAAGGAGGATAATCTGCTTTACTCAGTCTGCTAATTCAAATATTAGTCTCATCCAAAAATACTCTCAGAATCACACCCAGAATAGTGTTTGACCAAATGGGCTCCCCGTGGCCCAGTCAGGTTAACACATAAAAGTAACCGTCACAAGAACACAAAGACAGAGATAAAACTGAAATTACTGGAGCTTAAATGTGGAAAAACATGAAAGAAAAACAAGAAACATAATGAGAATGAAGGTATGGGGAAAATCTATGAGTCAGTCAGGCTTTAAAGATGCCATTGAAGTTAAGTAATAGTCAATTGACCATAGATCTTGGAACAAGACTGTGGACATTATGTTTGAGGAAGATTATCTTAGCACTTAAATGTAGGATGCATCGCAATATAGAGACATTGAAATTTAAAAACCAGTTAAACAAAAAGCCCCAAAGACCTCGATTGGGATGAATATTGTGTAATTAGAGAGCAAAGTCAAGACCCTGAACAAATGAAAACAAACAACAAAATTAACTGAAGTTAGTGAAAATATAAGAGAAAAAAATTGAATATGAATGTTAGTATCATTGATAACAATGATAAATTTAGAAGAGATTTGTGAGAATCAAAGATGAGGCATTTAAAATGACATGTGAAATTTCAAGTTTATCTTTTAATCCTCAACCTCCCAATAAAGTATGAAATACTAAAATGCCAACACGATGAGTGTGAATATGCTAGGAAACATTTTTGTCTTTTCAACAGTTATTACAATAACTTATTACAATTGTATTATTATTATTAGTTTACTTTGAAAAATAGAAATATTAGAAAAAATGCTGTAAATGAGTTGCTATTATGGTAAAATAATAATGTCTTTTAGTGAAATATCTTATTAAATCTCTGTAAGGTTGCTATTACCATACCTTTATCTATATACTTAAGAAAATTAACTTTGTATACTCACTTAACTAGTGATTGGTCTTAAAGTATTTCTCTATTCTATCATTTCTTGCATATTTTATAATGCAATTAAATATATATTGTTTTTATAGTAATAAAAAATTATAAAATGTAGTTTCATGGTTTTTAATTATGACATGCTACAGTGAATAATGAAGTATAACTTTCATTTATTTTCAAGGATTAAGAAATTGAGTGATTTTTTTTTAAGAATATAGAATCAGCTTTTTTTTTAAGCCCTGAGGGTATTAGGAATTTTTGTAACTGGGGTTTCCTGGTGCTGGTATTTTTTTCACATTAAATGCACCAATCCTGAGCTCAGCATCCTGTGTTACTGGACTGCCAAGCTACTAACCTGCTTTTTAAGCTTGTGTTGTTAAAGACAAGTTTCTTTACTCTTTCTTGTAGATGTAGAGAAGTAATTCTAGAAGTAAGCTAATGTATAATACCCACTTTAGTGTGATCACTGTAATTGGCTAATTAAATTGCTCTTCTCAGTAAAGAAGAGTGCGTCAGAATTAGGGAGAGGTAAATTTGGAACATGGGACTCATGAGGGCCAGATAGGTTTGGTGAGGTAACACAGTGATAGCTTTCAGCCAAGGATTCACTCCATGGAGTCCAAGGTGAATTAGCGAGAGCTAACAGCGCAGCGCTAGTAAGGATACTACTTAGGCTATGGAAATTGGCAACTCAGGTTGATGAAAATTAAAGATAAAGATTTCCTACTAATTATGACAGCATAGCCATGATATAAATTCCAGATCCCTACAATAGTTATGTACTGTTTTTGGAAAGGTGTTTTAAAATGTTTAACTCTTCTATGTCTTCATTTTTCATTTTCTCTTTTTTCCTATTTAATGTGTTTGTAAACTGAATTTTTGAGACTGTTACAAATACAGATTATTTAAATTTAGTCTGGCTAAACAAATCACTAATTGGGAAAGCTGTTAGGGACATATACTTGTCCTGACCATTCTTAACATGAGTAGAATTACTGTTATCTGTATAGTACTTTCACAGTCCTGCCTCCTGGTTCTCTGTATATGTGCAGACACATGGAGATTGAGCTCAGATTCTTCTCCATACTGATTGCATATATTGGATTGGGCAAAATGTCCATTTAGTTTTTCCATAAAATAAAAGACACATTATTCATTGTCAGCAATAACTTCATTGATTTGGATATTTGGAATATGTTGGCTATATCCTGCGTGTATGGTATAACATTGATTGTTCTCAATTAATGTCTCTAATTAATTGTTATCAATTTCAACCTGTCTCCCTGACTGTGGAGCATCATCCAGTGAGAAATCTCCAGCATGAAACTTTGCAAACCACTTTTGACACATTCAGTCAGTCACAGCACCTTCTCCACACACTGTGCAAATCTTTTTTGTGTGTTTCAGTTGCATTTTTACCTTTCGTGAAATAATAAAGTATAACATGCCAAAAATGTTGCTTATTTTTTCCATCTTCAATTTTAAAATGGGTACCCAAAAATTCGCATATTTTGATGTTTTTTTAAATGCACGCTGATATGACAGCTGTCACAATACCGTCTAACAAAATTGTTTTGAATGAAGTTAAAGACAACTAAGTGATACTAGAGCCATCTTACAGGAAAAAAAAATGTTTTTGACCAACCCAATATTATAGACTGTGATAGAAATGTTTTATTTGGGGAAAAAAGCTGTGTATATATATATTTCCCTGGTATACTTCCAGTTTTTAGAAAAATATGTTTAAATTTTTCCTGTTGAAAACTTTTAGTTTCTTTCTGGGTAGATACATCATCTTTTTGAAAAACCTTTCCCCCAAGATTTCTTTTTGAATGGTTCACAGTTAAATTTAAATTTCTATATTTAGGTAGAATTATGTTTATATACCAACCACCAGTATCCAGGAAATTCAGTGGTAAGGCTGACACATAGGGAGTTTATAGTCTATTTTGTAGTCTGTGTATTTAGACAAGGTTTGAAGCTTACTTAGCAAAATCGCTTAAACATTCAAGCAGAATTTCTTTAGTACAAATGCAATATTTGATTTCTTATAATTGTTAAGATAACAGTATGTCACTTTTTAAAGATTAGTTCTCAGTACTATGTGTTAGATTTATTCCTTTCAAAGAATGATACATTCAGGGCAGCTTTTATATGTAAATATTTTTATAATATTGGGTAGAAATGGTTTGGTGCAATCACCATGGTTTGATCAAGTTTGAAAGAAGTTACAGGCACTTTTTTGTAGTGTTTTCTCCAGCATCTTTATTTTTTTCAGCTGGAGGTATTTTATGTTCCTTCCAACTAATCAAAATAAGAAACTGATTTTGCCTGTGCCAAAAAATAGAACTATCATTTTTCACATTCTTTTATTTTGCAGGTCATTTTCAAGTAAGATTGTGTTTCTAGGACTTCTGAATTCCAGAAAACTCTCGACTTTGTAGATATAAGGGCCCAGATGAACATTTCAGGGGGAATCTAACTTTTCATGCAGTATGTTTTGTGTTGTGCATTCCAGCTACAGTTAACTTTTTGTGTGCATGTGATTAGTGTGGAAAGAAATTAATGCAGTCCCGTATTATGATTTATGGACTGAATCCTTTGCCCACTGAAGACTTGCCAAACTAAAACTATTTTTTTTCCTTTGGATATTAGAAACAGCTACTGTTTTTGTTGATCTTTTAAAGGTCTGAATGGGCCTATTTCAAATCATAGCAGCATGGGAGCCCAGATTAATAATATACTTATTCAACCAGTGATACTGAGTGAAACCATTGCTCACAAGGATATAAGGATACAATTTCATAAAATTATTTTCAGGTGCATTAATGCATTTCTGGGAGCTGCACATGATTTTTCTTTTGCATGAAAAAAATCAAGATTTCTGTTTTTTGTATCAGTTACAGGTAGGCTTATAAGTTACTTTAATTGCATTTTTTATACCTTAAAATATAAGACATTTTACTTTTAAAGAGAGTAATGTGATTGCTGGATTATTCCCCCAAATTATTAATTTTTAATATCTTTCTTGACATCATGACTGTCATATATTTAATTTATGTTATTGAGAAAAGTTCCTAATTTTTTTTTGTTGTTAGTTACAGCAAGCTGCTGAAATTTCTCAGCTTCGGGGAGCAAGGGTAATATCTGCTGAAGATCTTCTGTTTTTGATTCGCAAAGATAAGGTAATGTAAAAATTGTAATTTTGTCCTCTCTTCCATGAGTAGCTACTTGAAAATATTTTTTAAAATATTACTTGTTTTGGTAAGTTTTATCTAAAACTTATATGTAAAAAACTAACTGAATGATCACAGTATGTCATGACAGATACTATCACAAGTGAGCAAGCAATGCCTAGTTTCTAATGTTCCAGCTTCCATTTCTCCATTGGTTTTTCCTGGCTTTTTAATTACACTTACCCATTCCTCTTCACCATTTTTGTATGCTTGTGGCTCTGTTTTCTATCAAAAGACTTCCTATATATGACTTTTTGGATAACCTTTGGTCTCATTAACTCCTAGAAAGTGTAAGGACTATAAAGGAAGATAAAAAAATGTCTTCACTTTCAAGAACCTATAACCTAGTTTAGAAGACCAGCATGATTTAGTTGAAAAAAGCATTTTAAGACTCACAGAATTTTAAGATTATGTGATTAGATGTAGAGGCTATAGGATTTTTTGAAGTGGAGGTTTCTACCTGAGGTAAGACTCATGCAGTTATGTGTAGAATGGACCAAATGCAAAAGAACTAACCAGAATGCTGAATGAGTAATCAAGACAAAATAGGACTCCTGTGATGGCTGTGGAGGTGGGTAAGATGGAAAAATTCAGAGAGATAGGGAAGAGTAAAAATATGAAGGATTTGGCAACTTCTTTAAACTTGGAGGACTACAGAGGAGTACGTACTACACAGTAGTGGTGCTGTGAGGAAGGAGCCGAAAAGGTGCTGTTGGCAGAAATGAGGGTCTTGAGCCAAGATTCCTTCCGAAGGCATCTCGACTACAATGGAGTTAGCGGAACGTGTCTGTCAATTTTTCTTTTTCACTGACAGAGATAAAGAACCGAGCACAAAAATATAGCCCACATTGACACATTTTCCTGCCTTTTGGGGAAGATAAAATTTAAAATCATATTGAAACTTCAGGAACATAGATGAATTATTGACAGCGCCCCTCAGTGTCCAGAAAAACTCTTAACCAGAATCTTTTTAGCACCTGAGATCATAGCTATAATATGATAGTTGCCATTGTTCTCATATTTCATCTCAAAATAATAACTTTATTTGTACCAAATAATATGTACCAAACAGAATTTAAAGTAGTTTACACAGCTGTAATATAAGACAAAATAGGATCTGAAGTACTGAATGAAATTTACAAAGAGAAAAGGAGGATAGCGAAAGATTTATTTTTTCTCTTAATAATTTCAATATATAATAAAGCAGTATTTGTTGACTGCCTGCTATGTTTTACATATTATACTAGGCAGTTGTTTTATTCCTTATAATAGTCCTGGAAAGTAGGTACTTTACTTACTTCGTAAATAAAGAAACTGAGGTTCAAAGGTTATAATCTGCCTCTGACATTGCTAAGCTATAGGTGTAAGACTCATTTTAACTTCAATTTTTCTGTGTATATAAAGGAAATGGTAGAAGTTGTCTATATCTAAGGACTATTGAAAATATCAAATAAAATGCACATACAAGAGCTTTGTAAAATTTGACAGGTTTCAGTTATTACTAGGAATCCTAAACCTAAAGGTCAAGAACCAGTAATAATACATTTTTAGTGTAAGCACACAACACAGTACAAAGTATTACCAGCTACTTTTGGAGTTAAGCAATATTATGGTATTCTAATAAACCTAAGGAAAGCCATCATAAAGACCCAACTATCATTAATCAGCTGTGAGTTTCATAAAAATGTTTCTCATATTACTGAATATTTTCCAGAAATACAAACCATCAACCAGCTTTTCTAAATAAAAGATTCTCGGAATAAAAAAACAACAAAAAGGAGAGTGCATCCTTTTTAAAGCGGTTGTTATAAGTTGCTTGTCTAGATTGTTTACAAATCATTTTTTACATTATTTGTTACTGTATTTTTTCCATTAGCACTTATCCCACTATCCCCTCTTCCGCCTCCAGCCCCTCCCCAGCCACAGTCACCGCACTGTTGTCCACGGCCATGAGTCCTTTCCGTTTCTTCTTCGCTCGATCCCTCCACCTCCCCCAGTCCCACCCCCAGAGCTATCAGCCTATTCTCTGTCTGTAAGTCATTTTTAAAACTGAAATAGTCTAGGATGTCACACACTTCAGAAAGAATTTAAAACTTTCTATAAGGCTCAAATATAAAGGTAATTATTGTGATACTGTAGCACGTAGATACTTGTAAATGAAAAGTGCTTTTAACAATGCTTGTGTTTCAGTTTCTATGTTTAATTCGATGAATACATTTTTTGTTGGATAGTATTATGCTGAAATTGGCCTATTTTCTCCAGTCATTCTAGGGTACTACTTTATTAAATTTAGTTATCGTAACCTTTACTCAGTAAAGTGGATATATGTACAAGGATATGTATAAGGTTTCTTATTTAATGATTTTATATTTTTAATAGAAAAAACTTAGGAGACTGCTGAAATACATGTTTTTCCGAGACTACAAATCAAAGATTGTCAAAGGTATAGACGAGGATGATCTTCTCGAAGGTAATCCAGACAAAACTATGACACATGTGTGCTGGACCTCACATTTATGCAATGTCAATGTAGATATTCTTATCAGAGTAGAATATATGCACTTCTGTTAAATAAAGTAGTTTAGAAATTAACCAAGTACTTATTGAGCTGGCAGCTAAATTTTACGATTTTCTACTTATGTGACTTAATAGTAATCTGCTATTTACTTCAGTTCTTTTAATAATATAACCTGCTTTACTTCTGAAGATCATGAAACTAAGAAAACTGTGTTGATTTAGAACATTATTTTAGCAAGCATAATTTTTCTTTTGTGGATGGAGAGGACCAGAACTATTATATCTTTGAAATGGATACATATGGGGTTTTGCTAATATATTATAGAAAGTACTTGATATGTTTTATGATATAAAGTCACCTCATTCTGATGTGTATATCTGTGCTGTTTGAAATCCAACAAAAAGCCTAATGCAGAATAGAAAAGTTACCTTATCTGATTTTCCAACTCAGTTCCCATTTTGAAATATTTAGAAAAAATTTAATGTTGCAGAATCTAACAGTGCTAAGCTGAATAATGCTTATTGAATCAAAATAAATACAGTTAACCCTTGAACAACATGGATTTGAATTGCAAGTCCACTTATATGCAGATTTTTTTCAAGAAATACTATAAATGTATTTTCTCTTACTTAGAATTTTTATTAATATTTTTTCTGGCTTTATTGTAAGAATACAGTATATAACACATATGATATACAAAATATGAATTAACCGACTATGTTATCAGTAAGGCTTCCAATCAACAGTGGTGTGGGGATTGACTGTGGAAGTGGGGAATGGGCTGGGCGGAGGAGGGCGAAAGGGGAAAAATTGGGCCAACTATAACAGAATAAACAAGAATAATGAAAAATAAGTGACTTTTGGGGGAATTAAAAGTTACATATGAATTTTTGACTGAATCATCTTTGGCTCCCCTAACCCTCACATTGTTCATGAGTTGTATGTTGTGTTTTAGAAATAACTCACATATTTTGGATTGGACATAGTCACTGCATAGTGGTATATATTGCTGAGATATATATATGTATGTGTATATGTATCTACACATATATATGTATATATAGTATGTGTGTGTGTGTATTAGTGAAACAAACTGTATTGGATTAAGAATTCCAGAAACCTACTTAAAACCACCAGAAGAATTAATAGACTGAAGGAACTACTTTCATTTACCCTCGACAAATAAGCAAATGTAATATAGCCATGCCAAAAAAAAAATTCTGATCAAATGTTTAATCAGTGTTGCCTATTTCCTATGCCTGAGATTCTCATAGAATTTAATTTCTGGAAAATAGTTCTTCAGATGAATTCAAATGCTCTCTTTATGGAGAGCACCAAGAATACAGACTTAGAAAAGACTTGAATTTCAATCTAGGGTCAGTTTTCTCATAGAAGTCAGAAATTATACCACTTTCCATGTGAAATTATTATGAAATTTCAATATAATGTATGAAAAGTATCCAATACATTCCTGCCACTGAATAAATGATAGACGTTAATACCATGTGTTTGACCACCAAGATGCTCAAGAGTTATGAGAATAGTGCTCAGTTGCACTAACATCATTAGATCAGTTTGCTGTCTTCACTTCCTTATTTATTTCAAGTTTTTCTTCTTTATCTCATTTAAATTTTATAATATTGTGTGTCATAAAATTTTTGAATAGTTGATATAATTTATAAGATCAACTACTTACTTAAGTAAAATACATCTAATATTGAGGTGCAACATGTAGAATGGCCATGGGAGGAGTGTGATAGACACTTCCCCATGTGACGCACATTTACCTTGTGAAAATTTTTAAATAATAGCTTTAAGTTTTTAGACATTATCCTAAGGGCATACAGCAAGTGGAGCAGCACATATTTAAGAAAATCTACTAAATCTCATTAGGAACAATGAGAGTCTATTGCTTTTGAGACGTGTGCTTCCCCATCAGCCCCCTCCTCCCCTCCTACACTGCCACCCCATCTCAATATGAAAGAAAGTTTACTTTGGTCAAGAGTGGCCAAGAACATTGGCCACCTACTTGTCCAGCTCCCAGTCAGGGCAGCAGTTTCACCCCAGGAGGTATAGGAGGTTGGCATCTCTCATCTTCTCTGACTCCACTTTGCAGAAACTCTATTCTAGGCAGGCATAACTAAATGCACTGGAGCTTTCTCTCATCCTCTTTTCATTGGAATGTTCTACCCTAGACCACTGGCTGAGAATACTGCACCTAATTGCCCCCACCCTAGCTTTCTTCATTTAAAAAAAATTTTTTTTATTTGTTTATTTTTAAAGAGGAGGAAGGGAGGGAAAAGGAGAGGGAGAGAAACATCAATGTGTGATTGCCTCTTGAGTGCCCCTACTGGGGACCTGGCCTGCAACCCAGGCATGTGCCCTGACTGGGAATCGAACCAGCGACCCTTTGGTTCACAAGCTGGCACTCAATCCACTGAGCCACACCAGCTAGGGCACACTCTGGCTTTCTCATCGGGAGTAAAGACCCACGTCTGAAGGGACAAGCCTAAAAGACAAAAGGCTCCCATCCTTGACCAACTCCCTGTTCTTGGATCTAGGAGAGTCTTTCCAGAAGAAGCTCCACCCCCAGCTTTAGTACAATGATCAAAGGTTCAGCCCAGAGGGAAAGGCAGGACTTAACGGTAGGTCTGCAGCCCTCTCTAAAGGGGACTGACTATTTAGAACAAAACATGTTAAAAATAGTGGAAATCCTGGTGGTGAGCAACTAAGAGGAAGTTGGTAGCTTTGTGATACTAGCTACAACAAGCAGAAACAGTGCACAGCTACAAGTTTAACAGAGGAAACAAAGGAAAGGGACAGGAGTCCTCCTGGGGTCAGAGCAAAACTTAAAAGCTGGCATTACCATGATTCCACAAACAGGCCCGATGTTATTTAGATCATTCTGTGGGACAATTTATGCTCAAGAGTATTAACAAAAGCAATAGCGTGAGTAGTCAGCCAAGAATTAGTGGAAGCTGATAGCTGTATGTGATAATACAGTCAGACCAGCCTGTAACTAAATGTGAGAGATCAGGAAAAGTGAAAGCCAAAGAAAAACTGTCTGATTCAGTCATCCCTGGTAACTGAGAAAACAGTTTGCATGCTCAAGGTTGTGCCCTCTGAGGAGCAACTTCGGAAGCTCCACACTGTGAGGGAAGAGATTTAATTGAACTGGTCCAGCTGAGTTTATTTGAACTAAAAAAATAAATATGCAAACAATGACAAAAAGCCCCAGGAAGAGGATGGAATTATTACCTAAGTTGCTGCAATATGCTACCAAAAATGTCCATTTTCAACAGCAGCAACAACAGAATATTACATATGCAAAGGAACAGGTAGGTGTGATTTCCTAAGCAGAGGTGGGGGGCAGATAACACAAATGGCCCAGATGTTAGACTGAGGAGACAAAAATTTCAAAATACCTATTATAAATATGTTCAAAGAAATAAAGGGGACCATGTTTAAAGAACAGAAAGAGGTATAATTACAGTATATTACAAGGTACAGAATATCAATTTAAGGATAGAAATTATAAAAAGAAACTAATGGAAATTCTGGAGTTGAAAAGTACAATAACTGAAATGAAAAATTCAGCAGAGGGGCTCAGTGGTAACTTTGAACTAACAGATGAAAAAAAATCAGTGAACTTGAAGACAGATTGTTAAAGATTATGGAATCTGAAGGACAAAAAAAAAAAAGGAATTTGAGAAAATTAAAGACCTTCAGAGAAACATGGGACACCATTAAGTGAGCCAACATAGGCATAATGGGGCTACCAGAAGGTAAGGAAAGAGAAAAAAGAGCAGAAAAATATATTCAAAGAAATGATGATTGAAAACTTCCTAACTTTGATGAAAACTATTAATTTATACATCCAGACAGTCCAAGCAGGATAAACAGATATAGATATCCGCAATTAGGTGCATTCTAGTAGAAATGTTGAAAGGCAAAGAGAAAGCCATGAGAGAAAAGCAACTCATCACATGCAACAGAACCCATAACAATATTTTTAGCAGCTGACTTCTCATTAACAATATAGGTCAGATAGTAGTAGGATTACATATTGAAAGTACTGGGAAAAATAAATGTCAACCAAGAAACATATTCAGCAAAATTATCTCTGAAAAATGAAGGTACAATTAGGATATTTTCTGATAAACAAAAATTGACAGAATTTCTTACCAGCAGAATCATATAAAAACTTAAAGAGATTTCTTTGGGCTGAAAGTTGCACCAGATAACAATTCGAATCCACACTCCCACACACAAAAAAAGAGCACCTGTAAAAATAATTATGTAGGTAAATATGAGACAACATAATTACATATTTATTTTTCTTCTCTTAACTGATTTAAAACCAATTATATAAAACATTGTATTTATAATGGTGGGTCTATAACATGTAGATATGCAGTATGTTTGACACTAACAACGTAAGTGAAGTTGGTGGTAACAAAGCTGTATTGGAGTCAAGAGTGACATGAGATTGTTGCTCAAATTACAAAAAACAAAAACAAATAAAACTACAAGGAATAGAACTGGTAAATAAGATGGTTAATATAACCAATTCTATATTTACTTTCTTTCCTATAAAGACTGAAACTGCATCAAGAAGAAATGGCAAATCCGTGTAGACCTATGATAAATAGTTTAAATAAGTAATTTAAAAACTTTCCTCAGAGAACCCTGACCAGTGTGTCTCAGTTGGTTGGGTGTCATCCTGCAAAGTGAAAGGTGGCCGATTTGACTTCCTGCCCAGGCACACGCCTGGGTTGCAGGTTTGGTCCCCATTTGGGGTATGTGCAAGGGGCAACCAATCAATGCTTCTCTCTTACATGGATGTTTCTCTCCCTCTCTCTCTTCCTCCCTTCCCCGCTCTCTTAAAAATAAGTAAATAAAATCTTTAAAAAAAAACACAGAACTTTCCCCCAAAGAAAAACTCATGCCCAGATGATTTCACCGATGAATTTTATCAAGTGTTTAAAGAACAATTAATACTAATACTTTCCAAACTCTACAAGGTCAGTGTTACCCTGCTATGAAATCCAGCAAAGGCTTCATAAAGGAAAAAAAAAACTATGACTGATGTCTTTTTGAATATAGATGCAAGAATTCTCAACAGAATACTAGTAAATGAAATCCAGCAACATCTAAAAAGTATTATACACCATGACCAAGTGGGATTTATCCTAGAAGTGGAAGATTGGTTTAAACTTATAAAACAATTAGTGCAATTCATCATATTAGTAGCATAAAGAGCAAAACCCACATGATCATCTCACTAAGTGTAGAAAAATCATTTGAAAAAATCCAAAAGGCTTTTGATCTTGTTTAATTTTTTTCCAATTTTTTTCAATTACAGCTTATATTCAGTATCATTTTATATTAGTCTCAGGTGTACAGTGTAGTGATTAGATAACCATATACTTTACCAAGGGTTCCCCCTTTTATTTCTGGCACTCAACTGGCTTTATACATATTTATTACATATTACAATATTATTGACTATATTCCCAGTGCTGTACTTTACATCCACAGGACTGTAACTCACAATCTGTACTTCTGAATCCCTTCACCTTTTTCAAAGCTCTCTTGTGTCTCTTCTTATAAGATAACTAAATCCATTCAAGAAGATTCCTCCCTCATGACTTAGTTACTGTCCAAAGTCTTTACTTCACAATGCCATCACACTGGGGATTTAGTTTCAACATAAGAATTTTAGGGGGGACACTCATTCAGGTTGAGAAAGTTTCCTTCTCTTCCTAGTTTGATGAGTGTTCCTCTCATGAAAGACTTTTGGATTTGGGTAATTAAGTCATGAGGGAGGAGCCTTCATAAATGTAATTAGTGCCCTTCTAAGAAAAGAAACAAAAGAGCTTGCTTGATTCACTCTCTACTGTCCGCCATATGAAGATATGAGAAGCCTGCCATCTGCAAACCAGGAAACGTCTGCAAAACAGGCCCTCATCAGATACCACGTCTACCAGTACCTGATCTTGGCCTTCCCAACCTCCAGAACTATGAGAAATAAATATTTGGCATATTTATTATAGCAACCCAAACTGACCAAGATAGCCATCTATGAAAAACTCACAGCTAACATCATACTTAATGGTGAAAAAAAATGTATGCTTTTACCATAAGATGTTGGATTATCTTTATTTGGTATAAATATCTTTATCACATTAAAAAATAATCTAGTTCTTTTTCACTAATTCTCTCACTGATACTTTTATGCTTTGAATTGTATTAATTACCTATTGTAATATTACAGTCCTTCCTGACCTTTTACAATAACTGTCTTATAGTTATGTTTTGCTTTTAAATAAGTATGATAGTTTTATCTCTTAAAATAAAAAGGATAAGATCTCATCCCTTTAGGTTTCCAAGGTATTGCCACAACATTGTACACAGTAGTCTCTTCTTTTAATTCTATGCCTCAATTCTGATGTAGTTTTTTTTATGTCTTTGTTTTTATTTTCTTAATTAGGCCTGCCATACCAGCATTCTTTTTTCAAATCTAAGTCTTTCCTTTTTTTTTGTAAGGAATTTTATTCAGACCATTCACACTTATTGTGGTAATAGATAATTTAGTTTTACTCTCTCAATCTTATTAAATGAGTAAATGACCTAATTCTGAAAGATAGACTTTTTAACATTTATTTTAGGGAGAGAAAGAGGAAAGGAGACAGAGACATACATCAGTTTGTTATTCCACTTATTTATGCATTCATTGGTTGATTCTCATATGTGCCCCGACCAGGGAACAAACCTATAACCTTGGTATATCAGGACGACACTCTGACCAAATGAGCTACCCGGCCAGGGCTTACACTTTTATTTTGGATGCAAAGATTCTCCTTTTAAAAATTATTTTGAGGGAATTCTATTTCTGAAATTCATGTTCAGTGTTTAATACATGCAGTGATAGGTGCTGGTGTAACCTTATTAACAAATTTCTTTTTTCTTTCCCTTATCTCCATGAAGACAAATTGAGTGGCAGTAGTAATGCAAACAAAAGACAAAAGATTGCTCAAGACTTTCTCAACTCTATTGACCAAACAGGAGAACTCTTAGCAATGTTTGAAGATGATGAAATTGATGAAGTTAAACAAGAAAGAATGGAGGTATAGTTCATTCTACACTTTTTACAGTAAAAGAATAACCATAGCAGTTTACAGTGACTGTTCCATTTAGTTCTATTGATATGCTCTTTAAATATTGTTTGAAATGTCCAGATCAGTGGTTTCATATCAGAAGGCAGCATTGTGCAGTAGAGCAGCTTGGAGAGGGTGTTAAACTCTGCCTTCAGAGTTGGTGTGGAGAGATGACTAGTTTTCTGTTGCTGTTTCCTCCTTTGACTATCAGTAGATCTCCCTCAGCTTCCTTCTTTTTTCCTACATCATACTTCTACTGATACTATTTTATTCCTTAAATGCTAATTCATGATTAAATATTTCCTTATTTTTTGTTTCAACTGATCCAGTTAGCTTTGTGAGCAAAGGTAATTCTAACTGCATTTGAGCTGGCATGTAGCGTAAAGAACTATTTTTCAGTCAGTAGTTGCAGGCCAGAATGGTTGTACTCACTAGCTAAAGTAGTATCTGGGTCAATTACATGCTTTATATCACTGTAATACAAAGTTAGTGACATGTGTTTGGATTCCCTGGATATGTTTTAACAATAAATATGAAAATTGTACACCTTCTATTTACCTTAGCTTCTCTCTTCATAAAATTGTTTCCTTAAATACTTCGGAAAAATAAAAGTAATGATTGATTTCATTTGAGTGCCTTCCAAAATACAAGGCATTATTCTTGTCATTCTTCTTCTCATTATACTTTTACATATAAAAGAAAAATCTCTTATTTTTCCTTTTTCTTTAAATTAGGCAAGAGAGGTAAATTGAGAACTCTGAAAGATCGTGCTAAGTACCTATTTTATCATAGTTTCTATGCATGCTAAGAATATAATTATTTCATACTAAATTTTGGAAGAAGTCCAATAGACATACATGGTTTATAAACTTTAACAGCCTTCTTTAAAGAATTAGTATGCTTAGATCATAAACTGTGATCTAAAGGCAGTGTTCTTCTTAGGTATCAATTACCTTAGAAATGTGTGGTTATCTTGGTTTGGGGCAACTGCAAATGGTTTTAGTTCAACTTTGCCTTGGGCCAAAAACATGCTAAGTTGTCCGATGTAGATGATAAACATCTATTTCTGATGTCATTATGACCTAAACAGGATATGATTGTTTAGTGGCATGGTTTCACTTATGACAGAGCAAATACTGTTTATGCTTTATTTTGAAAACATTTTTATATTATACAAATGGGCATAAAGAAAGATTCATTAAGAAAGGACTCTACATAAAACATTAGTAAAATTGAACACATAGCTCGACAATTTTGATGAGAAGATCACTGTCAACTGAGCCCATTGCCCAGAAGGGCATTCCACAATCAAGGAGAAGAGAAGTGGAGCGTGTTGTAACACTAAGCTCATAATAGCAGGCTACTGTAAGCCTGGAAAAGTGATGAGTCAGTAAGGTATAAAGTCAGTAAAATATCTGGAACTTCAGGATAGAAAAAGCTTGGAAACTTAAGCAGTTTATATACTTCTTCATTTTAGTTGTATTATACATTACTTAGTGTTAACTGGGATAATAAAATATCAGTAATTGATAAAAACAGTTGCAATGAAAGACTGCTGCATATATATAATAAAAATTAGATTGGTGGTTTATCTAAGCTTTATATCATAATTAAAATCTTCTCTAAGCAAGATAAAAAAGAGTAGTTTTGAGATTCTACTCCTCCAAATAACATAGTTGAACTGAATAAAAAGTGCTGACCTTGTAGACATAACTGTAGACAGTAGAAAGTGGAACCGTTAAGAGCATAGGCCTTGCCTGCTTCTAATTTGACAGGTTATAGTTTCAAGCATAAACCACAACTGTGGCAGTCCATATGAAACCACTTTGGACTCACAGGCTGCAATCTCTTGCTTTTAAAGTGCAGTAGGATAATCAGTCCTGGCATCACTCAGTGATTTAATTTTCCTCTAAGCATCACTTACAGTTGCAGAAACTCTGTTTACTACCTTCTCTCCTAGAATGTATGAAAATGGAAAAGACCTACCAGCAAAGCTTATTATTGCTGTCTTTTTTTTTTTTTTCACTTAAGTGTAATTTGAAGAGAAAAAAATTTATAGGCATAAAAACTCACTTGGGACCCTTACTTTTTCTCAAAACATTGAGCAACCATAAAAAAAAAACGAGACAGAGATTTTTACTATTTTTTTCAGCTGATTTGTATGTGAGCCTGGCTTTGTATTGAATTCATAATTTAATTATTAACAATAGGTATTATGCGATTTTAAATATAAAAATGTCTGAACTTTTATATCCTTTTCTCTTTGCTAGTCTATCCTCATGATAGGTCTGTCTGTTTTTTGTTTGTTTGTTTTTGACTCCAGCAATACATTTTTAACACTTGGGTGTATGTATGGTAGAGAACTATGAGCCACAATCTCTAAAGATCTTTCTAAATTATCAAATAAAGATCTCTAAAGATCCTTCTAAATAATCAAATAAAGATTAAATAATATTCAGATTTGCTTTAGTGTATTTGAGAGAGTGGGACAGAGAAGCAGGAAAATGGTAAGCATAATAATGCAGATAAATATAACTCCCCTCTAACACCTCTCATCCTCTCCTAACCTCCCCTCAGAATAACACAGGTATGTTTTTCTGTTTGTTACATTTTAAATTTTTGAGCTCTCATCAACTAACTGTGGCAGTGTCAACCAAAGGGGAAGAAAAGGTCACTGAAAGATGCATTTGGAATTTCTTAACAGAGGAGCTAGGATCACTCACAGAAGGGCCTGGCCTAAGACCCAGCTGCTCTACTGTGAAAGAACCTGAGAAGCTCAAGTCTATCATTGATCAAGTAAAGAATCTCATCTAAGCAGCCATTAGATTTGTGAAGGAAATATAAAAATAAATGCTTAAAAATTTGAGTGAACTCTACCTTCTGACTGATCCTCAAATTGATAAAAGTAAACAAGGGAGCAAAGATTGGAAATCACTAGAAGGAACAGCCTTTGAACAGATTCTGGTGCCAAAAATCTCCAGTGACTGTTTATCTTGTGTTTTTAAGTCCAAAGCCTGATACTGGAATCTAGAGAAAAAGTGAAATGGAATACATAAAATTTAGGGCAGATAAGTTTTTTCTTTTTTTTCTTTTTAAATCATGTTTATTCTATTACAGTTGTCTCGTTTTTTCCCCTTTGCCCTCCTCCACACATCCCACCCTGCTCACTCTCCCACAGTCAATTCCCACTCTGTTGTCCATGTCCATGGGTCATTCATACATGTTATTTGTATAGTCCCTTCTCCTTCTTTCCACCATTGTCTTCCTTTTTCATCCCCCTAGTCACTTTCAGTCTGCTCCATGTTTCCATTCCTGTCGTTTATTTTGTTCATTAGTTTATTTTGTTGAATAGATTCTACTTAGAGGTGAGATCATATGGTGTGTTTCTTTCACCGACCGGCTTATTTCACTTAGCGTAATATTCTCCAGTTCCATCCATGTTGTCACAAAAGGTAGGAGTTCCTTCTTTCTTTCTTTTTTTAAATGCAGATTGATTTTATTTATTTATTTTTTAAATGTCAAAATCCATGATAAATATTAAAAAATTTATTTCATTGTAAAGTGTCAGCAATTAAAACAACATGACACCAGCACAGAAATAATCAAGTAGATCAGCGAAATAAAATGAGCATTCTACAAACAAATGTATATCTCTGTCTAGCAATGTAATATATGATTAAGTTGATATTTCAGATCAATGGGGAAAATAAAGGTTATTCAACAAATAAGGTTCATGGACCACTATTACTTGAAATAAAACAATTACAGAGCCTTATTTCACACATTCGACAAAACATATTCCAGTGAGTTAAAAATCAATATGTAAAATCTAAATTTAGAGTTTTAGGAGAAAATACAAAATAATATTTTTCTTACCCTGAAGTAAAATATTCAAACCCAGAAGCTATAAAGTAAAACATTGACAGTATGACTATATTAAACATTTAAGACTATACAGTAATATACATATAAAAAAATTGAATGACAAGTAATAGAGTAGAAAAGTATTTGCAACATATCTAAAGAGGGGTTAATCTTTTTTTGTGTTGTTTTTCCCCCCCCCCCCCAGGAAACTCTACAAACATCTAATCAAAAAATGGATAAAGAATACCAAAAATTCATTTAAAGCTTTTGAAAAATAATAGAAATAGGCAAGAAATATACAAAAACAGGTTTAGTTTCAACAAATAATGAAGTAACAATGAAAATAACACATCACTGTCACAATGAGATTAATAAGTATTAAAAATATTGGTAATACCAAGTATTGGTGACTACAAAAGAACTAGGTATTCATAGACTCTTTTTCTTCATCTTCTTAAAGCAGTCCCTTTAGAATATTTTGCAGTGCTGTTTTCGTGGAGGTGTATTCTTATAGGTTTCTTTTGCCTGGAAGACTCCTTATTTCGTGTTCCATTTTAATCAAGAGCATTGCTGGGTAGAGCAGTCTTGGTTGCAGGCCTTTGCTTTTCATGACTTAGATTATTTCTTGCCATTCCCTTCTGGCTTGTAGAGTTTCTGTTGGGAAGTCAGCTGCTAGCCTTCCAGAGTTACACTTAAATGTAACTACCTGTTTCTCCCTTGCTGCCTTTATAATTCTCTGTTTTTCTTTGATATTTGCCATTTTAAAGATGATGTGTCTTGGAGTGGGGCTCGCTGGGTTCCTCTTGATGGGACCCTCTGTGCTTCCTGGACTTATGTGACTTACTCTCTTCTCAAACTAGGGAGATTTTCCATCATCACTTTTTGAAACAGGTTCTCTATCCCTTGCTCCTCTTCTCCTTCTTCTGGTATCCCCATTATACAGATATTATTACATTTCATGTTGTCCTGCATTTCCCTGAATTCGTCATTCTTTTTGAGTCTTTATATTTTCTTGCACTTTCTGGAAGCTTTTTTCTACCTTGTCCTCGAGCTCACTGATTCAATCCTCTGCTTCATCTAGCCTGCTTTTTATTCTTTCTACTGTG